AAAAAAAATAAAAAATAAAAGTATAAATATGTTTAGTGTTTTTACTAATTTAGGGTACAATAAAATGAGAGACCTATGTAACACTCTCCATGCCATTATTACTTTTTTGGAATATATATTATTCCAAACTTACATATTGCTGTATTGGTGGCATTTAGGTTATTTCCAATATTTTTGCCTCTAAAAGCAATGCTGCAATGACTAGATATTTGCCTGCATGGATGATACTTATTGAGTAAATTCCCAGAAGCAGAAGTACTGGGTCAAAGGGTAGGTATATTTTTAATGTTAACAGATAATGCCAAGTCACCCTTCAAAGAGGAAGTATCAGTTTACACCACTACCACCAATGTATGAGAGTTCCTATTTTTCCATGCCCTCAGCAGCACACTGTGTTTAGATAACTTTTGGAGTCCTTGACATTACTGCCACTTTGTTCAAAAAATGAAAGTAAAGATGTGCGAAAAGTGTCTTTGAGCCCTATCTTGCTAGAAATGACATGATGCGTTTAGAAAAATTTCTTCCTGCCAGCAGTGGCTTGGATTCAGCAATCATCACCTGTGTCCTGCTCTTTCTAATTATTTAGATTCTGTAGTACATCAATGTGAATTCAAAACAGTATCTCTGTCCCTAGCTGAACAGACCAGTTTTATTCAGATGCTAAACATATGCCAAAAAAAACCAAAAAACTGACTCACACTGTTTCACTTGAAAATCCTGTTTTGCTTTAGGATAAAAAGTAACACACAACATTTTTTTTTAACACACATTTCTTTGTTTAACTAACGAGTGACACTTTTTTGTGAAATTATTATCACTAGTGGCTGAAACTAACTAAAACTTGCTTGAACCCAGAAAAATAAGAGTCCATAACAGGTCTGCAGACAAAATCAGTCAGGCCTGTGTTTGTACAGCCCCTCCAACTAAGAATGGCTTTTACATGCAAGGCTTTTACATGCAATGACTTTTTTTGCAAGAGAAAAGGGAGGCTGGGACGGGATATGTGACAAAACCCTATGTTGCCCACAAAGTCTAAAATATTTACTGTCTGGCACTTTACAGAAAGCATTTGCTGACTCCTGCAACATTGTGTAAGAGAGAAGGGAAAGATGATGCGGAAAGAGTAATTTGCCTTTTTTTTTTAAGTACTGACATTTAGAAAGGGGAA